TGTAGTATTTTCATCTTCCTTTTTCAGGTGAGATATTTATTAAGTCTGAAAGTCAAACCAAAGCTTACAAAAGAAGAAGTTTTACATATGTTGACTAAATGCCCTGACATTATTGCAAGCTGTAGCCTGAAGTCAATCGAAACAAAAGTCAACTTCTTAGAAAAAGTTTTAAAGTTTAATGACCAGCAACTTAGAAATATTCTTCTTAAACAACCAACTGTTTTGACATTCAGTACAGAATCAATGMAATCAAAGTTTGCCTATTGCAATGATTCACTGAATGCAAGTCGCTCTAGCATYGCAAGGTGTCCAAGGGTTTTTCAGTGTTCACTACAAAGAATAAAAGAGAGACATCAGTTTTTACTTCAAGTTGGACGTCTTAAAGAGGAAATGATGTTGGATGACTATGGTCTTGGTCTGATCGCAACAAAAACTGATAAATATTTTGCTGAAAAGGTGGCACTGAGTACATTGGATGAGTTTGTTGAGTTTAGACAATCTCTGTTAGATTGTGAAGATGAATGATGGTAATAATGAAATTCTCAAATGATTTCAAGAATAATAGAGGAAAATGAGTAAATACTCAAATTCCGTAGTTAAATGTCAATAATATCTTTCACTATTTCATCTAAATAATACTACAAAACAAGCAGATCTGAACATTAAGAATGCTTAACTGGTGTTGACCAATATTCTATATTCCTTTAATTTAAAACAATATCTGAATTCTTGTTTTTGGAACTATTAAACTTTTCTCACCATGATCAAAAATGGTTCACCCCTACGGTTGTCACAATTATAAAACAAATAAGTATTTCCAAATATTCAGTTTTGTATTTGCTTTACAATTCTCATACTCATTAATTATTCATGAGGTATCCAGMCAATTCCTGATTGTAATTTGTACCRCATGAAGTAACTTGAAACCAGAGGAAGTACTCGTACCTTGTATTCTACCTTATTTCMWGTTACTTCTACCTTTTTCAAGTTACTTCTACATTATTTCCAGMTATTTCTACCTTATTTCCAGTTACTTCTACCATGTTTCCAACTACTACTAGCTAATGATAATCAAATTATTAGAAATAATCAGTTTAACATTAATTTAGTGAAAAAAGGTCTTTGATGCATCACTCCCTCACGACTTGATCCCCTACCGTCCAGTCTATATGTGCTGTCTTATACCATTACACCACTGAGTTTCTGATGCGATTGCTCGGAAGATAACATACTTATAAATCTTATGGATTAGGCTCATTAGGAATGGCATGAATAACAGACAAAGACAATTTGAATAGCCGTTTTTCAAAGAAAAAGCTCGAAGAAGCGAACACAAAGTCTGACATGTTAATGTTAAAATGCAATGTTCGAGGCTCAATTAATAACATCTGCGATAAAAATGTCACTGTTTTTTCGCTTAAGCGAAGACAAGCTGCAAAACATAAGCTTAAAGTGCATTTACACTGGGTGGCAACAAAGCCTGGGCCCGGGTCCATGGCCTAGGCCATGGCCTACCTATGGGTCACCCTATGGCCTATACTATGGCCTACCCATTTTTTCTGTTATTTTGAAATATCTAATGTTTCCAATATAAAAATAGCCATGACACAGCCTCTGATCTATAACAATGAGTGTTGGTGGCCATATTTCAAGCTGAGAGGGAACTATTCGATTTCTTTGATATTTAAGATTTTTACAATATTATAGTTGACAATGAAACAGTGTATATGACAATCACATTTTTATTCAAAAACCATTTTTCAAAATATTTTTCAAATGTGATCAACAATTAATGTGTAGAATTTACCTTATAGAATGGACCTTCTGTTATTATACCATTCATAACCTGTTGGTACGGCAGTCTGTTGGTACTTATAGAGTTGAAAGTGGAACACATAGAAGTATGAACTGGAACGAGTGAAATCTTCAAAATACATGTACATGCAAAAAATTGAAAATGTATATATAATATATACTCTACAGTAGCTTGCACATCAAAAGCCGCCCCAGTAAAATGTCCTACAGTCAACTCTCCTGTAAGTGACCACTTTGGGATCACGAAAAAGTGGTCGCTTACGAGAGATGGTCGCTTATGAGAACGTTAGCACAGGAAACCCAAACAATGATAATCACAACACAGGAGGCCTAAATAGTTCAAAACACGCTCTTATTTCAGTGAATAAAATGTTTGAACAATTATACTGCTTCCATGCCATTCCTCAAATTCTTGAAGTTGATTTTATTGTCTAATTCTATTGTTTTCTATGGTATAACTAACACTATACTGTATTTGATACTAAATAGTACGCTTTTACCGTTTGCACTCGAAAGTTACTAGAAATATATTTTGCGTAAGCTTTGTAAGTAAATTAAACACACGCCTTTATGTGATATTTAAAAAACGAGTAGGAGTGTTTTATCGTGAGATATAAACACGAGGCCGAAGGCCGAGTGTTTATATCCACGATAAAACACGAACTACCAGTTTTTTAAATGACTTCTAAAACCCAAACCTAAGAAACTACAATAAACATGAAATAAATAAAAAACTATCAAAAATGAATAATTGATGAAGATATCTCCATCTGAGCATGAGCAGTTATCAACTTGGTTTCCCACATCCAAGCGCCACTATGTTTTTGTGTACTGTGACTCTGCAAATAAGTAATTTTAACACGAGACCTACTGAAGTTCTATGATGAGAGTCTAAAACTGAGAACTTTTCTAGTGTTGGGCACACATCGAGTGTCTGTAAATCAGTTACAACACTGATGTTTTATGCATGAGTGTTATAACTAACTGAACCRGTTAGTTATAAAACTCATGTTTAATTAATCAGTGTTTATAACTTGAGTTATAGATCCTGTCATGTGACCCATAGTTGAATGCTCATTGGACGAATGTCTAATGAATAATTCATGAGTTTTAGAATGCGTCAGTAGTGGGCGGTCGCTTACGGGAGAGGAAAAAATGTTACATGAATAATTCTACAGTTTCAATTCCAAAGGTGGTCGTGGTCGGCTACAAGAGTGGTCGCCTACGAGAGAGTTGTTTTTACAGAGTTTATATGGGAAACAAAACAGGAAATTTAAAATGTGGTCGCTTACGGGAGATGGTCGCTTACGAGAGTGGTCGTTCAAAGAGAGTTAACAGTATTTGTATTATCAACTCCCATTTACTATATTAGTGTGCTTTCTACCTTCACCAAAAATGAATCCTGGACTAAAGAACGGGAAAATTTGATTTGTTTTCAAAAGACAATTGTAGTTTGGGCTTCCTGTGCTAAATGTGGCATCTTCAGCACAGTCAAGCATTATTGAACACAGGAAACCACATAGAAACGTGAGGTGAATGATTGTAAAATTGTAGCTGTAACATGTTGATTTTTTTAAATCCTCTTCTAAATAAATTCTATAATAAATTCCGATATTTTTTTTCAAATTCAAGATTTACAACTTTATCACTTCTCATTTTTGCAGTCGAATGTAGAGTTTGGGTTGGCTGTGATGGAGAATCGGAATTTCATTTGATACTCATTGTTATAGATCAGAGGCTGTGTCATGGCTATTTTTATATTGGAAACATTAGATATTTCAAAAAAAAAAACAGAAAAAATGGGTAGGCCATAGTGTAGGCCATATGGTGGCCCATAGGTAGGCCATGGCCTAGGCCATGGACCTCACCTGGGCCCAGGTTTTGAATACATCAAAGATTCAATATATTTTGATGATTGTTTTTGAGCTTTTCACCAACAAATTGCAATCTGTTTTCTGAGATGCAGTGTAACATGCTAGTACATTTTGTTCATGTAAAAAGATTTCTATAACACTTTTATATCATTGATCATAAATTTCAACAGCCAAATCTATCTGTTGGCTGGCTTTTAGGCATGAAGTATCAAGATCTTACGTATTTTATTTTTTCTGTACTGTAAGATAGCTTTAAGTCTCTTTAGTTTGATATTCTCGTACATGATTCATGTTTTTGTGCTTTTAGCCTTGAAATATTTATTATTGAAGCAGGCTTGATATTAAATTTCATTCTGTAGTATTATAGCCCATTATAGGGACTAAATAACCCCTCCCAACCACCCCCAACCCCCTACATGCATATATTGCAAAACACAGATCTCTGCCTGGGACGTTTCACCCTGCCTGCAGGGTTTTTATGTATTTCCTTCGCTTTTTTCCCCTCGCGAAGAATTAATGAGTATGAGTAACGCCTCCCGTCCAGTCCTCATTGTCGGACTTTAAACATGACGTATATGATCCTACATTCTAACTTAATAATATCACCTACATAATACACCTAAAATACTTGATTCTGATTGGCTGACAAACGCACACTAGATTTCATATTCCCAATATATAATGCTTCTATCTTCTGATTATACGAAACTTGATTTCGCTATAAAATAGTCACTTTGTTTTGGTCTTGATCTTGGTTTATTCACATCACTTCACTACTAAACTCTGTTCGCTCTCTCGACCCTCTCTTGCGTTGTGTAACACTCTCACCAGACCCCCTCTCACATTACATACGATCTCACTTCCGCTCAAAATTATTACAAAATCACTTCCGGTCACGCTCCCCTAAAATTTAGAATTATTTCTTAAATTTTACAATACGTTGATTTTAAAATACGAATGTTCTTTTCTAATAATCACGAGGCCTACGGCCTCGGTCCGTACTGTCGAGACCTCGGTCCGATATTTTTCTGTACAGACCTCGCGCTCGGTTAATAACCCTGTATTCTAGAACAAATTTGAAATCATAAATCCTGAAAAAAGTGAAAAAATCACTTTCAGGATTCCAAATTTCGTGAAAATGTGGAATTGCCGAAAGTTGCCACTGATTATAATGGACTTTAGTTTTACCTAAGCTCATGTTCAGATAACTGTAAATTGAGTAAAAGCATAGTTAATTAACTATGGTAAAAGGCATGATTGTTATGTAGAAAACCAGAACGAGCACACGTAGTGCGAAAATAAAGGTGAATACAGTCCCAAGATTACCTCAATTTTTAGCTTCATAGAAAAATGTAACTTGCTTTTCACACGTTATTCACAATAATAAAGATGCAGTTAAGCTTATTACGTTTTTGATTTTTAGTCGGACTAGCCGAAGGCGAGGTCCGACTTTAAAATTATCTTTTAGCCAATCTGTCTGTGTATCATGTCGCGTTTGGACCACCGGAAGTTAAGAATTTAAAAATTAACTATTGGGTTGGCTGTGTTATTACATGACCGGAAGCTCAAACTCCTTTAAAACGTTCATTGCTGGTATTAATTACATGACCTTTTAGGTCAAGTTTATTTTAGTCTCAAGAGAGTTTGAACTAGACGCTCTTATTAGACCGTGAGTTCGGCTATTTTGGAGAAAAATTAAGAAATATATATTTTAATTTAATTTTTATCTTTTATGTAATATCCTGCTGTCTTTCTCAAGTTTCATTTACATTCATAATATCATATGATTAGACAAAATATAACATCATAATCTTTTCACTCGTGTCTATCAATTTTCAAAAATAGCTAGTCCGACTTCACGCCCCAGGGGCGTCTAGTTTACTCTAGTTTCAAGTTGCTTTGTTTATCTATAGTTTATGCCAAAGATTCTATGCACTCAAAACCTACAAGAAATAGTAAAACGTTATGCAGAATACTTATAACTAGTTGTTGCCAAGTTTTCGGATACATTTTTGTATAAATAGCTGATTTTTTTCCTACTCTACTTCTAGTTTTGAATCGCACTTGACAAAAAATGGTGACGTCAAAACCATGTTTACATACTCTGATACAAACACGGCAGTCGGCCAATCAAAACGCGCGTAGTATCCAAATTATT